CTACAGGTGTTTCTATGGTTTCAGGACAGGACAATGTATCTGTGCTATTCATGGGGAGGAGGTGGTGGATTTTATCCCTGATGGGGATATATATAATTGTATTTGTAAAGAAGCTCATGAAATCATTGCTTCTCAGAGTTAGAGGAATAGACGGGTCAGTAGAGGTGTGACTTTCTGTCAGCCTGGCAACAGTGCTGACGAGGAACCTGGTGTTGTTCTTATTTTCTTCTGTTAGTAATGAATAATAAGAGGTTCTGGCATTTCTGAGTGCTTTCTTGTAATTTATCAGACTATCCTTCCAGGCTAGGTGAAAGTCATATTGACTGGTTGAACGCCACTTCCTCTCTAGTTTCCCTGTTTTAAGAAAATTAAACCATGGAGCTAATCTCCTCTGATTTACTTTCTTCTTTTTTAGTTGGGTGACAGTATCAAGGCTTGTTTTTAATGAGGCTGATATACTATTAACAAAGTTATCAACTAGTGTGGGAGTAAAGTTTTGATAACTTTCCTATATTGTACTGATACATAGCTGTAAGGTGTAGAAGGAAGCAGTTTTTTACATGTGTTCACAGTTTTATCAGATAAACACAGACTATAATAGAATGTCTGTCCAGAATCAGTGTAGTCAATAATTCTAAATGTAACTAAAAAATAGTCATACAGAATAGGGTTTTGGGGAAATATTATTACATCAGGTGATGTTCAAGGATACAGTTTTGGTCTATCCAAGGCAAAAGGCTTTGTTGCAATCACTCAGTTTTAAATAACTGGTGTCATCACAGATTTTTCTGTGAAGTATTTATCCACACAATTATTCTGTAAAATTTCTAATCCTGCTCACCCATCACAGCGCACAACAGCTGTGATTAGATTTGGCCTGCCATCACATTTACAATTTTCAAATTAAAAACAACTACAAGGCTGGGAATTGAAGTGGGGACAAAGCCCTCACTGCAGATAATATGTGTCTTAACCACAGGCCACCATGATGCCCTTGGAACAGTAAAAAAAAGAGTTCTTATAAAATATGGAGGCAGTGAAGTGTAAGTACTTTACTGACTGATGTGTTTGCATACAAAGGCTGACTGAAGATAGGGAGACAGACCAAGAGAGATTTTATCTTCAACCCACACACTTATGAAGTAGATAGATCACTTATTATCACTTATATTGACTGAACAATTATTTACCCCCCA